AAAATAATCAAAAACTCACTAAACGAACATGGCGCCCAACACCGGGACCTTGGCGCTCAACCCTAAACTTGAATGGAAAGTGCCATTCAACCTTCAAACTCACTGCTTAGCACCCAAAGTCAGAGAGCTCACTGACTTTGTGGCGCTCAACGACCAAAAGTAATGCTCAATGTCCTGTTACTCAGGGACTCTCGGTTTTGGCAGCACTGAGCGTCACATAAGACCGCTCAATGCCATACTAGATGACAACAACTATGTTTTCTTATTTGAGTGCACCTGTGAGTCATTCAACAGAACAAATAGATTCCTTAAACATTATAATTGATGCTAAACCATGTTTATAGAAGAAATAAAGTACCACATTGCTCATTAGACCAGAAACTAGGCGCACTAAACCAACTTAATTACTCACAATTGTCTAAACTCAAATCCACCCTTTCTAACATAGAACTTGACAACTTAGGAGTCTAAACAAGTAAGAAATGACCTAACAACAGACCCCAAACCCTCTACTTTAGCATAAACCTTCTACTTTAGAATCTCACTAGTCAAAACTCCTAAAATGAATAAAATACCATAAAACACACACCATATTAACTACCAACCACTTTTACCTCAAATTTCTACTAACTCAAAGCTCAAACAAGATTCAACTGACCATACAACAAACCCCAAAAACTCAGTTCTCCCATTTGACCCTTCAAAATCTCGCGTATCAAAACCCCCTCTTTAGGTTCAAAATCAACCTATAACTTAGCCTACTTTCTACTTCTCAACACAACACCAATTTTATAACATTACACTTCAAAACAACAACACTCATAAGATTAATCAAGTCTAAATCAAAATCATCCATGACATCATACATCAAATAACTAAGTACAATCATCAAAACACAAATAACGCTAAAACAATCATTTCAATTACAACCAAATTCATATAATATCATATCAACCACCACTCATACTTGTAAACTCAAAATTATAGAAAATCACCAACTTCCCTTACCTGATTGGGAAAACTATCACTACTCTATACAACGTACTATCCTGCATCAACTCAGGAAAATCTAAAAATACCTATAAACCACAAAATCATGATCAGAGTAAGTCCTTAGGATCTCTGATCGACAAGGAGCTTGAAAAGTAGATAAAATGACATAAGCGATGAAACTTATATGCATATGCTTTAAACTAAGAATTAAATAAAATGAGCAAAAACTAACTTACTATATATAGAAAACTGATCGGTAGAAAGTGGAGAACTCACTATCGTGATCTCCTCAGCACCTCCTGATCGTCAAACATATGTATAAGGAGTAAGAAATCTTAAAGAGAAGGGAGAGGAAACTCAAAGAATGAGTTTTATAGAGATAATGAGTGTTTTAGATAATGAGACATGTTTATGAAATTTTATTTATATTATTGAATTATTTTAACATTAAAATATTTGGTCTCATTATTTTAAAACACCTATAAACTCTAATGTTATATTTTCTAGGTTCTTACAAAAATTACTCAAACAATTACAATCCAGGTAAACTTCTTTATAAATAATTACAAAATAAGAAAAAAATATATTTATAGAATTAGAATTTATATGTGTATAATATAAAAAACTAAACCTAAAATAATATATGTATAAGATAACTTTTATTCAATGAAAAAAAATCATCTTGTAATCTTACTAACCCAACAAAATATACTTACTAAAAGAATTAAGTGAGTTGGTGAGTCAACCTGTCTCACCATGGGTTCAATCCAAGTTCAAAATTGGACTGATCGAAATTTCAAAAAAAAAATTCAACCTAACTCAGTCCAAACCTGTGGTGGATCGAGTTAACTCACGAGTTTCAACCAATTTTAACAGCACTAATGTTAATAATCCTAAATGGCACACAAATATTGTGTATGAGAAGAATTATAAACAAAAAGTTTAATGAATAAGGTATAAATCAATTACATAAAGTAATTTAACACTTGAAATTTAAATATGTTTATAAACTATTGATTTTTCTTATTTTACATAATTTCAATTTCAAAGAGTAATGTACCGTATAACCGTCTGATTGTATTATGGGCTGAACGGTCATTTTTCCAGAAGAGTTGTTTTAGTAATCAAACCGTTATGAAACAAGATCGAACTGTCAGCCCATAAAAAGATTAGTATTAATTATGAGTAACTTAAGATAAAATATGATTATCACAAATGTGACCATAATTAGGTTGTTGCTAATTTAGGTAGAAGGTAAGGAGATAAATGATTGCATTTAATACACCATTAATAATTTAGTAGTCGAATTTTTATTGACTTTGACATTAGAATACCTTTTTTAGGTAACCTATAATCGACTTTGCTAAATAGTGATTAAAAAACTTGAAATTGGACATTACACTCAAACCGTTGACCTCAACTCCTGTGCCTGGAAAAAAGTAGCATGAGGTCAATAGTAGTAGCATATTCTATATAACATTTAGAATAATTTAAAAAAAATTAAAAAAAATTAAAAATCCCACAGTAACAATAAATAAAATCAATTTAGAATATATATATATATATATATATATATATATATATATATATATATATATATAAGTTGTAAGTTAAAGTCATGTTTAATGACATATAATGTAATTTACTATTAAACTATTATCTATCTATTCATTAATATTTAATTCTACATACAAAAATTAATTTAGACTTAAAATTCACATATATGCAAATAAATAAATTATTGTCTGGAATAGTGAAAATCTTAGTTAAGTCTATTTGTGAATAATGGAGCCGACACCCATGAAATGAAGAGGTAACTAACGCAAGTGACGTAGTTTTTGTTGTCTCCCACCAAACAGTGGCTCAGGGTTAGACCCGGAAACTCAATATCTGCCCAGACACACTGGTCCCTCCGACATCCATTTTCAACCAAGACTGCAACCTTCCACGTTCTACTACAATCCCACACCTGCCTCTGTCCAACACTCCATTAAAGTCTTCAAATGTCTCTTTTGCTTCATAAAGTTCTTCAGTTTAGCAACACTTTTAATCAAGATTATCACTATACCAAGATATTTAATTAAATCTCCTTCAAACAAACAAAAAAAACAAACTTAAGAAAAAAAGTTACGATAGTTTAATATTTTTAAATTGGTTAAAGTTGACGTAAAAAGATAAGGCGGCGATTTCATTTGCTTAATGTGACATTTTTCGCATTCAGGTTTTGGCTTGTCAACTCATGAATGCGAATGTGAGAAAAAAAAAAGGGCGAACAAAATGTTGTGGCCAGGAAATTGCGAGCATTTGGAGAAAAAAAAAGAAAATGCAATAACAGAGAAAAAACGAGTGGTGTGGAATGATCGCTATCCCCGAGTTGAATGTACACGTGGCGGTGTTTTCTTAAAGGGGCGGCAAGTGGCAGTGACGTGGCGAAAAGCGCAAAGGTGAAAGCGACAGCCTCTATGGCTCGCTCTTTTTGATCCACACCTCACGCTTGCCCTACCCTTATTTTTAAGATATTTAACCCTTTTTCTCCTTCTCACAAATATCCTCTTTTTTTCTCATTTCCAAACTGTCACAACCACACTCATTAATTATTTTTTTTCGGGTCCCTTTTATTCGATAATAACATATTAATCAATCTATTTTTAATATCAAATAAATACTTAATATTATCTATAACGTATATCACATCATATTAATTAATTAATCTATTATTCTCTATTTTATTCATATATTATTACCCACTTGTATATTGTACTCTTGTTGTGTCTCGTTGTATCGCAACGCAGTTTAGTTGACTCACGCCCTCTACTCGCGCTCACTGCTGCTGACGCCTGCTACTTATTTATTTCCGTTGAAACAACCTTTTTCTCCGTTGGAGCAAATTTCATGATTTTTTTTTTGTTTTCATTTCACGAGCCAAACTATAACATTATAACTTTTTAATACATTAATAATCCCCTACTTAAATTTATTCACATCTTAAAAAATTAAATTTTACAATGCCTTACTTAAAAATGTCTGTGCATATAGTGTACTAAATTTACACAAAACACGTTATTTTAACGAAAATATTTATATACTTATTTTGCATATATAGAATCGGTCAAATGCTGCACATGTCAAAGATGTGTAAGTTCTACATTTTAGAAATTGAAACATACGAGACATTAAATGCTTTTTAAAAAATAAAAAATAAACTTTTTTTACATAGTCAAATATAGAAATGTGGTTCAAAATAAAGCAAATGTTTTTTTAAAAAGGAGGCAGGTCAAAACCTGTTACCAAACCATAAAACGCTTAAAAAACAAGAAAAAAAACAGTGGCTGTATAGATTTTAAGGTATGATATTAACACAAAATCAATTTCTAATAGTAATTGATTCATATGACAAAATTATATATCACTTTCAGTGAAACGTCAGTTTTATTAAAATGGCTATTTATTACCTAAAATTCAAAAAATAGTGTTGAGTCCATCATGACATTTGAGGAATAGAAAAGTATAGAATATGTTGTTACAAAGCGAAAAAGAAAAGAAATAGAGTTAGTAGAATAATTTATGAAAAAGCAGAATTATCTGTATGAGAGCTGGGAAAATAATGGCCACGCATTAATCATGATAAAGTGGCGTGGCACCAGTGAGAGTGCGAGTAGCACTGTGGCAGTGGCACCCGCGAGTATGCTCTGTCCCAAATTATCCACAACGCGCTCTCTATTAGTTTTCTTCGGCCACCCAATTAGAAAACGAAGCCGAATTAAAAAAATGAAAAAGAAAAAAAAAACAGAAAAGCGGAAACAGACGCGACAGCGGAACGCCACGTGTGGAGGACCTCTTTCGACGTGAGCCACAAGATTGCATCGAGTTCTCGAGATTTCGATGGAGAAAAAATAAATAAATAAAAAAATTCTTTTTCTCTCTTACAAGACAAAATTCAACATCTGACGTGGCACTCTGTGGTTGCTCCATTTATTTTTCTCTCCTTCACAATAGTCTCTTTCCCACTTGGCTTTTATATCTATCTGCTCTCTTCTTCCCTGTTATTCTCCTTCACTCCATTTTTCATCTTCTTCTGAAAAACCAAACCTTAACCTCTTTTCTCTCTGTTTCTCTCCATCCCTTTTGAGCCTTTTCACCAACCATGACGATTCAGAGAAACTCTTGTGGACTGAGTGTCCTCTGTTTTCGGAACTGTTTTGTTTGAACATCCATCATTTTGTTTTTCCAACAAAGAAACCTTCTATCATCCAGCCTTTTCCCACGGAGGGTTTTCTTGATTTGAGAACTGTGGACCATTTCTTAGTTAATTACATCTGAGTCACTGTTGTTGCTGCTTCTCAATTTGAGATTTGGAAAGGTTTTTGGGGTGATCGTTGCCAATTCACGAGGTGGATTCAGTTTGAATGATCGAGTTTCTGCGGTGCATGGTCACGGGATCTTAGAAGGGTTTCTTCGATTTTGAGCTTAAACTGTAGTGTCGGATAAAACAAAGAGACGAAACAGTGTTTTTGTTTGGTGCCGAGAGAAGTCCAATTCTTGGTTCCAGAGTTGTCGAGGGAGAAGTGTGGACTTTGGTGATTTGTTTGTTTGTGTTACATGCTGTTAAGAAAGTTGTCGATAAAGATAAGTTTTACTGTTTTGGTGTTCTGTGAGCCAACCGTGTAGGAAGGAGAAGATATTCAGCACATGGCGATACAAGTATGTAAATATGAGTTTCTTCTTTGTTTTTTCTTTGATGTAGAATGTTTGATGCCGTGTTGAGTGTTTTTGAAGGACATGAGATTGTTGTTGGTTTAGGTCGTACTTGTATGTTTTGTGGTTTGTTCTGGATTTCCAGCCAAAAAGTCTTTTCATTTGGGTATGACATGTCTGGCTCTGTTTTTTGAAGATTAAAAAAAAAAGTCAAATTAAATAATGAAAAAGATAGAGGGCTACTTTATGAACTATGATTTGGTTTTCCTTTTCAAATGCCAAATATTTGTAGTTTTTAATTTTATAAATTTTGGAAAAAAATAACCTTTGAGTGTTTCTGGTTTAGATAACAGTTTGATTTAATCTTCAGCAAAGGCACAATTTTCCTGATCTTTTAAAAAAAAAAGAAAAAAAAAAGCAAGGTTCATTTAATGGAAATTGTGAATTGTTGGTTGATATTTTTTTCACTAAGAGATGAATGATTCCCTGGTGGTCATGATTTTATTTAATTCTACTTGAATTTTTCATTATGAGAAAATTTTCTTTTTCTTCTTGATTATTATATTATACTTATTTGCTTTTTGGATTGGATGCAGGGCAAAAATGCATTTACTAGATCAAGGGGTGGTCCTCCAATTGGAGATGAAATATGTTTGAGTCCCGGTGTGCATTCTGTTGCTGATATTTCACTACATGATCAGTTTTCTTGTGGAAATGACTATGCCTTGAAGGTTGTCCCTTTGTTTCTTATGTTTTTGTGCCATTATAAATTTGATTTTCACATCTGTGACAGTGTTACCTTTGTTTTAATCAATTTTATATGTACATCAACAGGTAAGGAAACCGTATACAATCACAAAGCAGAGGGAGAGGTGGACAGATGAAGAACACAAGAAGTTCCTTGAAGCCTTAAAGCTATATGGCAGGGCCTGGCGAAGGATTGAAGGTATAATTAATTCTGAACTTCCATATATTATGCCATAAAGATTCTAGCAGAAGAATAATACAAGTCACTGAATCAATCAAGAAGGTTGGTCTAAGTTCTTGGATCCTTTTATTTTCACCACAGAACATGTTGGCACAAAGACTGCTGTTCAGATTCGAAGTCATGCTCAGAAGTTTTTTTCTAAGGTTTATTGTTATATTCCAGTACCCATCATTTACCATATGTTAAATATAGCATGAGTCATAATAAGTTAGAGTTGTTATGTTATGACTTTAAGAGATGCAAAAGTTATAACTTTTGGTGTTTAAGAAAATTCTAACTCATTTGTTCTGATTTCATGCAGATTGTTAGAGAGACTAGTGGGAACAGCACAGCCTTGGAGGAATCAATTGAAATTCCACCTCCCCGACCAAAAAGGAAGCCAATTCATCCTTACCCTCGTAAACTGATTGAGATTCCAAAGAAAGAGATTTCCAATTCAGAACACCCTCTGAGGTCTATTTCTCTCAAGTCATCAGATTTTGGTCAAGAAAACAATTCTCCCAAGTCGGTGTTATCTACTGTTATTTCCGAAAACCTTGGTTCCTCCGATTCAGACACACCCACTGGAAGTTTGTCACCAGTCTCATCCATTAGTGGTGTCCTCACAAACAGATTTCCACTAGCTCAACCCAAAACATCATTTGAGGAAGAAGGGTCTCTACCAAGTTCAGCTCATGACGAGCAACATCTCGTGGTACTTACTAAATCCTAATAATTTTTCAGGCTAATCTTATATCTCCGTGCAGTATCTTCATGAGAACACTTTTAAGGAAATGATTTTAGAGTTTAGTTTAAATGTACTGCATAGAGTGATTGGTGGATAGAGTACAATTCTTTATACTGACATGAAAATTAAACTCTCCCTTTATTTTATCATCCAGAAACTGAAGCTTTTTCACAAAGAAACTGTTTCTACCAAAGATGACGCAGCTGAGGAATCATGTGGTCGTACTCTCAAACTTTTTGGGACCACTCTACTTGTAACAGATACAAGCAAACCCTTTTCTCTAATAACGGAGCCATTCAAACCAATACCTGCGGCTGCAACATATCTTATGCAACTTCAAAACGGGTGTTCTGATCTTGCAGAAAGTCCTGCAAGTATTGTTCCAAGGTGGACTTTTTCACATAACGCACTATCTGTGCCCCTGCACAGGGAGCTAAAAGGGAAACACCTATACTCTAATCTTGGAGATTTTGAACATAAAGAGGTTCAAAAGGAAGGATCATGGACTGGTTCAAACACTAGTTCAGTTAATGATGGAGACAACACTGCACCAAGTGAAACATCAGGTATATTTGAGCTAAGAGTGAGAGCTAAAACCTGTGGGAAAGGGTTTGTGCCATACAAAAGGTGCATGGCAGAGAGAGAAAACAAATACTCATCAGTTTGTGACGAGGAGAGGGAAGAGCAACGTGTCAAGCTTTCCTTATAGTACCCTCTCACTGGCTTTTCTTCAGAGCAGTTTCCCTTTTACAGGTATAATGTAGCTGTTTCTGTTTCTGGATGACCCCTGTACGAGAAGAAAGAAAAGGGAACTGAAATTTTTGATATTTCTACTGCATTGTTGATTCTCCATGTCTGTGTCTTTAGGGGTTCTGTTCTATCCCACTTTTTTATAAGCCATGTTAGGCCCTGTGTAGTTCTTCAATTTTTTTCCTCTCACCTTCTTTTCAATGGTTATTGTCTTTCAAGTGTAAGTTATATATACTTATGTATCGCTTATTAGTGTAATTGTTCATATTTGTCATAGTTAATGGTTAAATTACGCTTACATAACCTCAAGTTGAATAAAATATTCTTTCTTTGTATGGCATTACTTTAATTTCTTATATCTGTATAACAAGAAATCATGGGACCTCTGAATTCTCCAAAATGATTCATGAAGTTACGTTGTCATGTCAATTAAATAAAGTTTACGGAGGATATAACGTGAAATTTTGAGGAATAAAATTTTATTATACTTTAAAATGTGAGTGTAATTTGTCCCTTTTGTTGGAATCACTTCCTATCAGGCATATTGTGGATGTGCCACATCGAAATGATAAAAGGTTTAAGAAAATGAGAACTTTTATGTGTGTCACAAATGGATAAATATGCAATGCTGTATTGGGCCATTGACTATCAAATCTATACGGGGTAGTTAAGCAATGGATTGTAATTTCTAACATCTTCCACTGCATTTATTGTCTGACTCACCTCTCGCTCGTTTCGAAAAATCATAAAATCTCAAAATTCGTGAGATTTATTTCTGTGTCATAGCAACGTCATTGTGGACGAAAATTGAAAATTCTATGTTGTATCTTTTGTTTTGCTTTTTTATTTTATTTTATTTTATTATGTTTTTGAATATGTTTTTGTTTTATCGACAATTTTAGGTATTAATATTTGTTATTAGAGAAATTAAATCCATAAATTTTCTCATTTTTTAAATCAATCTTATATTTTCAAATTGTTGGTGGAAGAATTGAATTTGTAATCTCTTTCACCTTTTCCTATCTTTATCATTAAACCGTCCTTATATTTCCTTTTTTTATATACATGTATTTTTGCAATAATTTTTTTATAATTATTTTATGAAAAAATTGATGATAATAAACATATATATATATATATATATATATATATTAAAACTATATAATATAAAGATGACTACGGGATAATTAGAGTATTTTATTTTTTTTAAGTAAAAGTTGACTCTCATTTCTCGTATTTAACACTGTCTCTTTAACATTCGAAATATTAATCAAACAACTTAAAAAGAATCACAATAAAGAATTCAACATAAACATTTACTCCAATTTCATATAATAAGGATTTCTAATTTTATAAATATAAAATAAAAGTATCAAATAAAAATTAATTAAAAATGAGTTACGAAATTAAGAATAAGTGAAAAGTTAATAAATTTTTGTATATTATTTAATAAATTAAAAATATTATAATAATTTAAAACGAAATCAACAATAAGATAAATATAAGAATGAAACCTAAATTGATATAAATTCGAACAATAGTGACGATTGTTTTGTCTCCCTAAAATGAGACGTTTTTATAATGTAGAAATTGGAAATAATAGGTGATTTGCTAATTGTTTTATATATTTTTATATGAAATTTAGAGTGGTGTTGTTCTGTATTTAAATAAGGCGTGCTATTTGATTTCAAAGATATTGTGATATGCACATCGTAGAGCTCTATGTTTTGGGCAGCCTTCTCGAATTCTCTTTTATTATTCTTCCTTTTCCTTTTGATGAGTGATATGAATGGAAAAGCGCAATTACAGTGCAAAGCTAGGATTATAAGGGACATGTGTTGTAGGTGGCAAGGAACTGTAGCCTTCAAAATGCATCTTCGAGTGGATTGTTAAATCAGATTCTCAACATTATTACTAAACTCACATCATTCATACAATCACCGTTTTTCATTATTGCTTCCTCACAACTCACCTTTCTTAGTCAAATACTTGCCCCTTTCATCATATATCACAACCCCAATTAATCATCAACAAAATCTACACTCTACCTTAGGTAGCCTTTCACAAATATTTATGGGATAAACAATTCATCATCTTATTTCTTAAGTTTAAAGTATCTCATTGCAAGTTTTGTAATATATTCTCCAATCTAAATATTAATCAATAATTCCATAATAGTATCACAAGAAATTAAATAATATATTTAATAAATTTTATTAGGACAAATTGTAATATTAATTCTGATATGATATTACAAATTAAATTTTAAGTTTAACACAAAATTTGTATCTATTTATATATTTTAAATTAGTTTTATCTTTAGTTTTAGTTGATATTTGATATGAAATTTTAGTAAATATATTTTTCAAAAATTTGATTAATATATTTCAGAAATTTGATAAATATAGAAAATGAGAATAATTTGAATTGTTTATCTGTTATTCGTTAGTGGAGTTTCTTTATTCATTTTTTAAGCAAATATCTTTTAGCAGACCCCGTAGTCGGGCTGTCATCCATAAATTTACACCTGGGACCTACTTCTTCGTTATTTGTAGTTAAAACTAATATGGGCCTTAACTCCTGTTGATTCTCAGGTGTTGCTCCCTCCACCACCACCTCCTGCTCCCAATATCTCCTTATCCGTTTTTTTTCCTTTATAATATTTAATTTTTGTTTTTATTTTTTTACCCTACCACTGTAAATGCACCTTTCCAAAGGTCCACTACTTCCGCTTCAATCATGGAAGAAGTTGCAAAGAGTTCCACTGCAGCACCCATGTGAAACGAAAGAGCAACAATCCACTTATGCGAAACGAAGGAGTAGCAATGGCGCACATATGAAACAATCAAGTAGCATCAGTGAGAAGAAGACTCTGGTCTATGTGATCCAACCCGAGAGGGTGAAACCTTGATCTTCTTTCTTTTCTTATTTTCCTAGTGATACTCAACCCGAGTGTGTTTTTCTTTTAAAAGAGTGAGTTGGGATTCAAACAAAACATCACGACAAAATATTGACCCAAACCACCTTACCCATATTGACCAACAGTCTCGCTGACCCCTGCTGCTGATGCCATTGCTTTTGCTTCCGCCTAATCTTCTTCTCCCTTTAATTTTGTTTGCTGAGAAAACTTTGTCTGGTTGGTGGTGGTTGAAGGTAACGGATGTGTCACAAAATATTACACGGATGTGAACATTCGTTGAAGGAGAAACAGATCTGCCATATCCGTTGAGTCTGGATTTATTTCCTCTGCACCCATAGAAAACACAGAAAACACAGAAAATGCATCAACCTAAGAACAAAGGCCAAACATACAACACACAAATTATATTCCAGTAAATTCAAATGAAATAAATTTAGTTTGAACCGAGGAAACTGCATAATAGACGCACCGAAGCACCACTAACGAAGCACCACTAACGAACCACCACAGCACCACCGAACCACTGCACAAGTAACACTTGACCAAGGCATAAAATGGAGAAGAAAAAAAATTAAAGAAGTGAAAACGGATGTGAAGAATGGATTGGGAAAAATAGATCTTGAGAGAAAGAGAAAAAGAGAGAAAGTGAGAGTTTGGGAGGGGGTGTGCGTATGAGAGTGAAAATAAGAGATAAAGATTAGGGTTTTCATAAATTAAAAGGTAAAAAAATAAAAAATTTAAAGTAAAAAAAAGTGATTTTGTAATTAAAAATTGTTTGGAGAGGTGCAAGGAGCAGTTTGGGAGTGTTGGAAGGAACAACTTCCTGACTTCACGGAGTTAGGGAGCTGGAAGGAGTTAAGTTTTTTTATTGGAGGAATTGAAATTCATTAAAATAAAAATATAATTAACCGTATATAAAATTATAGTGTAACATTATGATATTCTTATATTCTTTATATCAGGAAAGGGTCGGTGTTTTATTTTAAACTTTCTTCTGTGCATACTATACAAATTTTAATTTAAAGTTAATTCTAGATCGATGCCATGAATAATCTCAATATACTTTTTAAGTATATGTTATAATTTTTTTCTTCACGTTGAATATTTGAAAAAGCACTGCTTTCAAAATTTTTAAAAGAAAAACAAGTACCACTTGATTTTTCGATCATTTAATATATTGTACGGATACTACCACGTTTGTTTTTCAATTTGAGAATCCAACCAGATACGTGATATTGAAAGGTCAATTAATGACAGATAATTAATTTTAAGAGATTACAGAGTAATTTAAAAACATCAACAAAAAATAAAATTGGTAAAATGGGCAAAAAAAGTTGTCTGAATTAGTTTAATTAAAAGTATATTTAATATGTTTTTCTTAAAAAAGAAAGATCAGCTAAAATATATGTTAACTTTTAATAATAAATATTGATAAAGACCATATAAATTTTAATTTAAGTTTATAACATTTGTATTTTACTGATATAAAAACCTGAAAAGTCATGTTTTATTTTAGTTTTTAATATCATAAAACCATGATATTGCATTTTTTACTACTATTTAACTGCTATATATAATATTTGACAAAGTCGAGTTTTAAAAACATTGGTGCTAAGATAAATATTTGGAAAAGTATACAAAAATAGACTTGTAAGTAAAAGTACAATTTGTAATTTTAGGTGCATAATTGAGACAATATAAACAAACTGTAGCTTTTAAGAAAATAAACTGTTTTTATTAATAGTAGGATTGACACAGTTATTTATCCATTTTTAGTTTTACATATAATTATTTTACATTCAAACGAAATTAGCTATATTAAAATTCTTTTTTAGTGAGGTAACATAACAGGAGTAACAAAAGATAAGCTAAGACACGTGTTCCAGTAACTCCAAAACATATAGTTGATATTTGTAACTGATTATTAAAAAGATGAATTTTTTTTCTCTCCAGAACTTCAATCATGCATTGATAGAATTGGTCACTTTCAAACCAAAGTTCTAAACATACACGAATACCATCACTGTCGTTTGCTAAACCCATGTTACCAATATTTTATGAATAAGGAACATTTTTAAAATCACTAAACTGTGATGTTTTTTTTTTCTTCTGTTAAATGTCTTGTGATTTTTTTTATGTTACTGGTTTGTACTAGTTTTGATTTTTCACGTAACGTGTAATAATGAATGTTTACTTTCTTTTGACTGATTAGAAAAGCTATTATTCCGTTAAACAGTTCAGAATATGCAATTATACAAATACCTAATCGTCAAATCTGCAATTATTTTCTCTCACTGAAATAGTAGACTGAAAGTTAGATTAAGCAGTTTTTAGTGTTTTTTAGAGATCTGTCTTTATAACTTAATTCACTTAAAGTTTATAACAAAATATATATAATCCAGTTTTACTGGCACTTATATATGAAAATTATTTTCAACAATGATTTCAAATAATTACCGTGAAGTATAAGAAATATGATTAAGTGATTAATAATAGAAAAAAAAACAGCAATTTTAATTATAAATATATATATATAATAAATGAAATAAAGAAAAAGAAAAGTGAAAGGGAAAGTAGAGTGAGTGTGGTGGTATCGTCGGTTGCAAATAAAGGAACCCACACTCAATCTTTTTGCTTTGGTTTCACTGTCTTCACACGGAAATGTCACCACCGTACGCGGTTGCCGCAGCACTGTCCACACTCTCCATTCTTCTTACACTCGTTTCCTCTCACTATTCCTCCTCTTCCTCCGACTATCCTCCCTCTCTGCAGGCTTCGCCGGAGTTCGCAGAGTGGCGATCCGCGCACGCCACCTTCTACGTCGCAGCGGATCCCCGCGACGCCGTGGGAGGTGCGTGCGGCTATGGTGACCTCGTCAAGGGCGGCTACGGCATGGCCACAGTGGGCCTCAGCGAGACGCTGTTCGAGCGCGGCCAGATCTGTGGCGCGTGCTTCGAGCTGCGCTGCGTGGACGACAACCGGTGGTGCATTCCCGGCACATCCATCATCGTCACGGCCACGAACTTCTGCGCCCCCAACTACGGATTCACCTCCGACGGCGGTGGCCACTGTAACCCTCCCAACAAACACTTCGTTCTCCCCATCGAATCCTTTGAGAAGATCGCCATTTGGAAAGCCGGCAACATGCCCGTACAGTACCGCAGGTAGTCCAAATTTCTCTCAAATCATTACTCTATACATCAATTATGCATGCCGATGTTTATTTTTGGTTTTAATCTTCATACAATTTTGAAATTTACACTCGAGGTGTTCTAACATCGTTTATGTAGTATGATCTTTCTAAATGGAATTTAGTGAAAGCTTCTAAATCGACTGATTAAAAACTGGTGTAATCTACTAGAGTTGGGAAATTTCAATAAATTTTCAATTAATCATAGAAATAGTTTTTCAAATTTCGACTGACGACAAGGACCGGCAAGACACTTGTTTTTATTGAAAATTATAAAATCGAGAACGAGATTTATTAATGGGTTCAATTTATATGCAATGTCACTGTCAAATAGATGTTATGAATCTTAAGTTTGTGGTGGAAAAACAAATTTATCATTATTAGCCATTTATGATCGGATGATGAAATTCTTTTATTACAGCATAAAATGTTTACTCATCAGACAAAAGGTCGGGCCTCTATTTTAAGAATGCTTTAAAATAGTATATTAGATAATGTGTAAGCATAAAAAATATATTAGAGAGTGTATTGTTAATGTTTTTCCCAGCTCCTTTGAAATCACAATATCTCTTGAGTAAATGATGGTGGTGACAAAGTTGCCTAGATGATAGTGATGGAAAAATGGCCTACCCATCGTGACGTGGGTCGCAGATTTTAATGATGTGGGTCGCAGATTATAATGCGTTGCAAAAAAAGAAGAAAGAATAATAATGGATTCAAAACTTTTAGAATGAAGTTTGAGTTTGTGAAAATTTGGTTCTTCTTTATTTGTGGCTAAGCTTAGCCATAATCAGTCTTGGTCAGAAGGCTTAAGTTTAATTCAAATTAAAATTTTCAAAGTGTTGCATTTCATCGGGTCAGAAGGCTTAAGTTATTAAATTTGAATAAAATTCTATTTTAAATGCTCTGATGGGTTTGGTGCAGGATAAAGTGTAGGAAGGAAGGAGGGATTCGATTTACTGTTACTGGTTCTGGAATCTTCATATCGGTGCTGATCAGCAATGTTGCTGGTCATGGAGACATAGTGGCTGTGAAGGTTAAAGGGTCAAGAACTGGTTGGCTTCCCATGGGTCGGAATTGGGGGCAAATTTGGCATGTAAATGCATTGCTGCAGAATCAACCTCTTTCATTCGAAGTTACTTCTAGTGATGGCAAAACTCTTACATCTTACAATGTTGCTCCCAAGGATTGGACCTTTGGACAAACCTTTGAAGGCAAGCAATTTGAGACTTGAAATTGAAAGCTCATTGAATTGTGATCTTGTTTCAAGGGACCGTTCGCCTTCCACAATTTTTTTTACCCCTATAGTAGTTTTCTTTCTACATTTTCATTCTTTTGGCTTTGTAGAAGACTGTGTAGATAGCAGCAGATGATTTGGTGGTTTGCAAGGTTGTCAATGGGACGCTGTACCTTTTAGTTTATTATGTTAGGAAGTTTTGTATGAAAAAAAAAGATATATACATTCCTTGTTGGTCAACATAAAAAACACTTGCAATGTAAATTTTGTAAGGCTATCATAAGACGTGTTATCCTGCTACCTTAAAAGTTGTCTTAAATTTTACTAGTCACTGAACCCCAATTGCATTGAATTGATTTCTACTGTAACCGCATAGTTTTTGAGACTTTTTTTGTCAAATACTTTTTTTTTTATGTATTTTCCATTGTCACTTTCTCAATGATTTGTTTTTCACAACTACTTACCATTGGTGTATGTCCCTTTTTAACCCTGTTGACGTGACTACAGCTGAATGCAAAAACTGGTGCCGTCAAACTCCACTCATGTTTTAGTTTTCCTTCCCCTTAACAACATTTGAGTAAACCGTTCTGCGCCCTGTTGACAGGCCTAAGCCATCTAAAAGTCCTATTCGTATTAAACGGGTTAGTTGGTTTCATAGTTGCCTTAAAATGCATAATAGAACCCTTTTGTAGTATGACCTTAAACAAATGAATGATCATTAGAGTTTTAATTTTAATTTTGACAGATGATAATTATACACTGAGGCAACAAAAGGGTAAAGAGCTTCGAACTGATGCTATCGATACCATCAATTTTAAATTTGTGTCAAATGAAACACGGACCTGTTAAGACCTGAGGTGATCTACTAATGTCAACAGAAGGAAAAACATAAAACGGAATCCTATTAATTAGACCAATCCATGAAGAAATTAAACAATGGTTTCGTGGTTGTTCTCAACAATCATCAACTAATCTGCTCCACCATTACACATCTAAAAAATGAGTCAAAAGAAACAAACGGAAAGCATTATACATCAACATGTCACTGCATTCTAGTTAAGCCTAAAGGATATTCATATAAACAACACAGAAAAGAATCACAATTAAATTCTGGTTAAAAGCATGTGTGAACTGTTTGTACAGAAACTTAGTTTCCAATTCTTGTGACTAATACATGAGCTGTTAGCATACAGTAAAACAGAAAAAAAGAAAGAAACAAAAAAAAATCCAAATGTGGTATACTATAACAATAATAATCACTCTAAAACTAAATGAATCTAATGCCTCAGAAGAAACCAGGCAAAAATCGCAAGCTATGGTGGAAGAACTGAACTTCTATTAATCAAAATCGTCGGAGAGTCCTACCGTATACATCGATGAGGAGGGAGCTGAGGTGCTCACATCTGAGGGGAACCAAACCGATGCTACAAACTTCATATCTTCTGATGAGATTCAATAAGCAATGCATTCAACATAACATGAACCCCAGCCTCATAAACAACCCCATCATAATGCATCCCATCATCTGTACACCTGATCCCACAATTCCAACTCAATGACCCAATATCCAGTAGATGAAGTGGACCCTCAAACTGCCTTAACATGCCACTTCTCTTAACCTCTCTCTCATATTCTCCTCGCACTAGATCAGTCATCTTCTCCCTCTTCTCCGCTGTATTCAACATGGAGTTCACCAAAGTTGGCATCCCCAGCCAAAACAAGTGTGGCGATCTAACCGCCACAGACTCATCATTGCCAAATTCGGAGGACACCGGCAACAGTGAAGTCACCGAACTCCTCAAAACCCCCAAAGACACACCATAATCCGAAGCATTCGTGATGTGCAGCATGTGCCACAAACCAGAACCCATCACCAAAAGATCAGGATAAACACGATTCCTCTTGAACCCCGCAACCAAACTAGTCAAATTGGTGACATAAGGTGCCCACATGAAATCCAACATCATCCCCATCTCATCCACCTCAGTGTGGTAATCACTATGCCGCTTGAACAAAGACCCTTTAACAGATTCCATACCTTCTGAGTCCAGAACTAAACTCAACAACGAAAGCGCAAAGATTCGAGCTTGCGAATCCCCCGCCACCACGACCCAAGACCCATTAAGCAAAACCGAAACGTCGTGCCGATTAAGCCTCTGAAACTCACAGGACTCCACAGAACCCGATCTCTTCCAAGACCAAGACTTTTCGTAGTTCACTGAATTGTTATTCATAGGGTCAAAGTCAAACACCCTCGGCCTCACCTCCCAGACAATTTCATGAAGCAACGAAACACAGGAATCGCGATCGTCCACTACAACATTAACAGAAGAAGAGGAAACCGATGTGACGAAATCAGAAACCGAAGGGAAATAAGGTGTGAGGTGAACCCCAACAGCGAGAGTGATGAAAAGTGCGCCACTGAAGAAGAGAACCTTGTTGCGACTCAAGTGCCANCTGTTATTCGTTAGTGGAGTTTCTTTATTCATTTTTTAAGCAAATATCTTTTAGCAGACCCCGTAGTCGGGCTGTCATCCATAAATTTACACCTGGGACCTACTTCTTCGTTATTTGTAGTTAAAACTAATATGGGCCTTAACTCCTGTTGATTCTCAGGTGTTGCTCCCTCCACCACCACCTCCTGCTCCCAATATCTCCTTATCCGTTTTTTTTCCTTTATAATATTTAATTTTTGTTTTTATTTTTTTACCCTACCACTGTAAATGCACCTTTCCAAAGGTCCACTACTTCCGCTTCAATCATGGAAGAAGTTGCAAAGAGTTCCACTGCAGCACCCATGTGAAACGAAAGAGCAACAATCCACTTATGCGAAACGAAGGAGTAGCAATGGCGCACATATGAAACCATCTAGTAGCATCAGTGAGAAGAAGACTCTGGTCTATGTGATCCAACCCGAGAGGGTGAAACCTTGATCTTCTTTCTTTTCTTATTTTCCTAGTGATACTCAACCCGAGTGTGTTTTTCTTTTAAAAGAGTGAGTTGGGATTCAAACAAAACATCACGACAAAATATTGACCCAAACCACCTTACCCATATTGACCAACAGTCTCGCTGACCCCTGCTGCTGATGCCATTGCTTTTGCTTCCGCCTAATCTTCTTCTCCCTTTAATTTTGTTTGCTGAGAAAACTTTGTCTGGTTGGTGGTGGTTGAAGGTAACGGATGTGTCACAAAATATTACACGGATGTGAACATTCGTTGAAGGAGAAACAGATCTGCCATATCCGTTGAGTCTGGATTTATTTCCTCTGCACCCATAGAAAACACAGAAAACACAGAAAATGCATCAACCTAAGAACAAAGGCCAAACATACAACACACAAATTATATTCCAGTAAATTCAAATGAAATAAATTTAGTTTGAACCGAGGAAACTGCATAATAGACGCACCGAAGCACCACTAACGAAGCACCACTAACGAACCACCACAGCACCACCGAACCACTGCACAAGTAACACTTGACCAAGGCATAAAATGGAGAAGAAAAAAAATTAAAGAAGTGAAAACGGATGTGAAGAATGGATTGGGAAAAATAGATCTTGAGAGAAAGAGAAAAAGAGAGAAAGTGAGAGTTTGGGAGGGGGTGTGCGTATGAGAGTGAAAATAAGAGATAAAGATTAGGGTTTTCATAAATTAAAAGGTAAAAAAATAAAAAATTTAAAGTAAAAAAAAGTGATTTTGTAATTAAAAATTGTTTGGAGAGGTGCAAGGAGCAGTTTGGGAGTGTTGGAAGGAACAACTTCCTGACTTCACGGAGTTAGGGAGCTGGAAGGAGTTAAGTTTTTTTATTGGAGGAATTGAAATTCATTAAAATAAAAATATAATTAACCGTATATAAAATTATAGTGTAACATTATGATATTCTTATATTCTTTATATCAGGAAAGGGTCGGTGTTTTATTTTAAACTTTCTTCTGTGCATACTATACAAATTTTAATTTAAAGTTAATTCTAGATCGATGCCATGAATAATCTCAATATACTTTTTAAGTATATGTTATAATTTTTTTCTTCACGTTGAATATTTGAAAAAGCACTGCTTTCAAAATTTTTAAAAGAAAAACAAGTACCACTTGATTTTTCGATCATTTAATATATTGTACGGATACTACCACGTTTGTTTTTCAATTTGAGAATCCAACCAGATACGTGATATTGAAAGGTCAATTAATGACAGATAATTAATTTTAAGAGATTACAGAGTAATTTAAAAACATCAACAAAAAATAAAATTGGTAAAATGGGCAAAAAAAGTTGTCTGAATTAGTTTAATTAAAAGTATATTTAATATGTTTTTCTTAAAAAAGAAAGATCAGCTAAAATATATGTTAACTTTTAATAATAAATATTGATAAAGACCATATAAATTTTAATTTAAGTTTATAACATTTGTATTTTACTGATATAAAAACCTGAAAAGTCATGTTTTATTTTAGTTTTTAATATCATAAAACCATGATATTGCATTTTTTACTACTATTTAACTGCTATATATAATATTTGACAAAGTCGAGTTTTAAAAACATTGGTGCTAAGATAAATATTTGGAAAAGTATACAAAAATAGACTTGTAAGTAAAAGTACAATTTGTAATTTTAGGTGCATAATTGAGACAATATAAACAAACTGTAGCTTTTAAGAAAATAAACTGTTTTTATTAATAGTAGGATTGACACAGTTATTTATCCATTTTTAGTTTTACATATAATTATTTTACATTCAAACGAAATTAGCTATATTAAAATTCTTTTTTAGTGAGGTAACATAACAGGAGTAACAAAAGATAAGCTAAGACACGTGTTCCAGTAACTCCAAAACATATAGTTGATATTTGTAACTGATTATTAAAAAGATGAATTTTTTTTCTCTCCAGAACTTCAATCATGCATTGATAGAATTGGTCACTTTCAAACCAAAGTTCTAAACATACACGAATACCATCACTGTCGTTTGCTAAACCCATGTTACCAATATTTTATGAATAAGGAACATTTTTAAAATCACTAAACTGTGATGTTTTTTTTTTCTTCTGTTAAATGTCTTGTGATTTTTTTTATGTTACTGGTTTGTACTAGTTTTGATTTTTCACGTAACGTGTAATAATGAATGTTTACTTTCTTTTGACTGATTAGAAAAGCTATTATTCCGTTAAACAGTTCAGAATATGCAATTATACAAATACCTAATCGTCAAATCTGCAATTATTTTCTCTCACTGAAATAGTAGACTGAAAGTTAGATTAAGCAGTTTTTAGTGTTTTTTAGAGATCTGTCTTTATAACTTAATTCACTTAAAGTTTATAACAAAATATATATAATCCAGTTTTACTGGCACTTATATATGAAAATTATTTTCAACAATGATTTCAAATAATTACCGTGAAGTATAAGAAATATGATTAAGTGATTAATAATAGAAAAAAAAACAGCAATTTTAATTATAAATATATATATATAATAAATGAAATAAAGAAAAAGAAAAGTGAAAGGGAAAGTAGAGTGAGTGTGGTGGTATCGTCGGTTGCAAATAAAGGAACCCACACTCAATCTTTTTGCTTTGGTTTCACTGTCTTCACACGGAAATGTCACCACCGTACGCGGTTGCCGCAGCACTGTCCACACTCTCCATTCTTCTTACACTCGTTTCCTCTCACTATTCCTCCTCTTCCTCCGACTATCCTCCCTCTCTGCAGGCTTCGCCGGAGTTCGCAGAGTGGCGATCCGCGCACGCCACCTTCTACGTCGCAGCGGATCCCCGCGACGCCGTGGGAGGTGCGTGCGGCTATGGTGACCTCGTCAAGGGCGGCTACGGCATGGCCACAGTGGGCCTCAGCGAGACGCTGTTCGAGCGCGGCCAGATCTGTGGCGCGTGCTTCGAGCTGCGCTGCGTGGACGACAACCGGTGGTGCATTCCCGGCACATCCATCATCGTCACGGCCACGAACTTCTGCGCCCCCAACTACGGATTCACCTCCGACGGCGGTGGCCACTGTAACCCTCCCAACAAACACTTCGTTCTCCCCATCGAATCCTTTGAGAAGATCGCCATTTGGAAAGCCGGCAACATGCCCGTACAGTACCGCAGGTAGTCCAAATTTCTCTCAAATCATTACTCTATACATCAATTATGCATGCCGATGTTTATTTTTGGTTTTAATCTTCATACAATTTTGAAATTTACACTCGAGGTGTTCTAACATCGTTTATGTAGTATGATCTTTCTAAATGGAATTTAGTGAAAGCTTCTAAATCGACTGATTAAAAACTGGTGTAATCTACTAGAGTTGGGAAATTTCAATAAATTTTCAATTAATCATAGAAATAGTTTTTCAAATTTCGACTGACGACAAGGACCGGCAAGACACTTGTTTTTATTGAAAATTATAAAATCGAGAACGAGATTTATTAATGGGTTCAATTTGTATGCAATGTCACTGTCAAATAGATGTTATGAATCTTAAGTTTGTGGTGGAAAAACAAATTTATCATTATTAGCCATTTATGATCGGATGATGAAATTCTTTTATTACAGCATAAAATGTTTACTCTTCAGACAAAAGGTCGGGCCTCTATTTTAAGAATGCTTTAAAATAGTATATTAGATAATGTGTAAGCATAAAAAATATATTAGAGAGTGTATTGTTAATGTTTTTCCCAGCTCCTTTGAAATCACAATATCTCTTGAGTAAATGATGGTGGTGACAAAGTTGCCTAGATGATAGTGATGGAAAAATGGCCTACCCATCGTGACGTGGGTCGCAGATTTTAATGATGTGGGTCGCAGATTATAATGCGTTGCAAAAAAAGAAGAAAGAATAATAATGGATTCAAAACTTTTAGAATGAAGTTTGAGTTTGTGAAAATTTGGTTCTTCTTTATTTGTGGCTAAGCTTAGCCATAATCAGTCTTGGTCAGAAGGCTTAAGTTTAATTCAAATTAAAATTTTCAAAGTGTTGCATTTCATCGGGTCAGAAGGCTTAAGTTATTAAATTTGAATAAAATTCTATTTTAAATGCTCTGATGGGTTTGGTGCAGGATAAAGTGTAGGAAGGAAGGAGGGATTCGATTTACTGTTACTGGTTCTGGAATCTTCATCTCGGTGCTGATCAGCAATGTTGCTGGTCATGGAGACATAGTGGCTGTGAAGGTTAAAGGGTCAAGAACTGGTTGGCTTCCCATGGGTCGGAATTGGGGGCAAATTTGGCATGTAAATGCATTGCTGCAGAATCAACCTCTTTCATTCGAAGTTACTTCTAGTGATGGCAAAACTCTTACATCTTACAATGTTGCTCCCAAGGATTGGACCTTTGGACAAACCTTTGAAGGCAAGCAATTTGAGACTTGAAATTGAAAGCTCATTGAATTGTGATCTTGTTTCAAGGGACCGTTCGCCTTCCACAATTTTTTTTACCCCTATAGTAGTTTTCTTTCTACATTTTCATTCTTTTGGCTTTGTAGAAGACTGTGTAGATAGCAGCAGATGATTTGGTGGTTTGCAAGGTTGTCAATGGGACGCTGTACCTTTTAGTTTATTATGTTAGGAAGTTTTGTATGAAAAAAAAAGATATATACATTCCTTGTTGGTCAACATAAAAAACACTTGCAATGTAAATTTTGTAAGGCTATCATAAGACGTGTTATCCTGCTACCTTAAAAGTTGTCTTAAATTTTACTAGTCACTGAACCCCAATTGCATTGAATTGATTTCTACTGTAACCGCATAGTTTTTGAGACTTTTTTTGTCAAATATTTTTTTTTTATGTATTTTCCATTGTCACTTTCTCAATGATTTGTTTTTCACAACTACTTACCATTGGTGTATGTCCCTTTTTAACCCTGTTGACGTGACTACAGCTGAATGCAAAAACTGGTGCCGTCAAACTCCACTCATGTTTTAGTTTTCCTTCCCCTTAACAACATTTGAGTAAACCGTTCTGCGCCCTGTTGACAGGCCTAAGCCATCTAAAAGTCCTATTCGTATTAAACGGGTTAGTTGGTTTCATAGTTGCCTTAAAATGCATAATAGAACCCTTTTGTAGTATGACCTTAAACAAATGAATGATCATTAGAGTTTTAATTTTAATTTTGACAGATGATAATTATACACTGAGGCAACAAAAGGGTAAAGAGCTTCGAACTGATGCTATCGATACCATCAATCTAAATTTGTGTCAAATGAAACACGGACCTGTTAAGACCTGAGGTGATCTACTAATGTCAACAGAAGGAAAAACATAAAACGGAATCCTATTAATTAGACCAATCCATGAAGAAATTAAACAATGGTTTCGTGGTTGTTCTCAACAATCATCAACTAATCTGCTCCACCATTACACATCTAAAAAATGAGTCAAAAGAAACAAACGGAAAGCATTATACATCAACATGTCACTGCATTCTAGTTAAGCCTAAAGGATATTCATATAAACAACACAGAAAAGAATCACAATTAAATTCTGGTTAAAAGCATGTGTGAACTGTTTGTACAGAAACTTAGTTTCCAATTCTTGTGACTAATACATGAGCTGTTAGCATACAGTAAAACAGAAAAAAAGAAAGAAACAAAAAAAAATCCAAATGTGGTATACTATAACAATAATAATCACTCTAAAACTAAATGAATCTAATGCCTCAGAAGAAACCAGGCAAAAATCGCAAGCTATGGTGGAAGAACTGAACTTCTATTAATCAAAATCGTCGGAGAGTCCTACCGTATACATCGATGAGGAGGGAGCTGAGGTGCTCACATCTGAGGGGAACCAAACCGATGCTACAAACTTCATATCTTCTGATGAGATTCAATAAGCAATGCATTCAACATAACATGAACCCCAGCCTCATAAACAACCCCATCATAATGCATCCCATCATCTGTACACCTGATCCCACAATTCCAACTCAATGACCCAATATCCAGTAGATGAAGTGGACCCTCAAACTGCCTTAACATGCAACTTCTCTTAACCTCTCTCTCATATTCTCCTCGCACTAGATCAGTCATCTTCTCCCTCTTCTCCGCTGTATTCAACATGGAGTTCACCAAAGTTGGCATCCCCAGCCAAAACAAGTGTGGCGATCTAACCGCCACAGACTCATCATTGCCAAATTCGGAGGACACCGGCAACAGTGAAGTCACCGAACTCCTCAAAACCCCCAAAGACACACCATAATCCGAAGCATTCGTGATGTGCAGCATGTGCCACAAACCAGAACCCATCACCAAAAGATCAGGATAAACACGATTCCTCTTGAACCCCGCAACCAAACTAGTCAAATTGGTGACATAAGGTGCCCACATGAAATCCAACATCATCCCCATCTCATCCACCTCAGTGTGGTAATCACTATGCCGCTTGAACAAAGAACCTTTAACAGATTCCATACCTTCTGAGTCCAGAACTAAACTCAACAACGAAAGCGCAAAGATTCGAGCTTGCGAATCCCCCGCCACCACGACCCAAGACCCATTAAGCAAAACCGAAACGTCGTGCCGATTAAGCCTCTGAAACTCACAGGACTCCACAGAACCCGATCTCTTCCAAGACCAAGACTTTTCGTAGTTCACTGAATTGTTATTCATAGGGTCAAAGTCAAACACCCTCGGCCTCACCTCCCAGACAATTTCATGAAGCAACGAAACACAGGAATCGCGATCGTCCACTACAACATTAACAGAAGAAGAGGAAACCGATGTGACGAAATCAGAAACCGAAGGGAAATAAGGTGTGAGGTGAACCCCAACAGCGAGAGTGATGAAAAGTGCGCCACTGAAGAAGAGAACCTTGTTGCGACTCAAGTGCCAACCCGCCATACCCATAGGCACAAAAAGAACCACGCACGCCGCTAACAAACCCAACTGCACCGCACCTAACATCGCCCGCTTTATTGTTCCCAGATCCCTGTGAAACTCACATATGGGGTTTTGGTTTTTGGAATGACCCGTGAAGGGGAAACCTGAGATCTGAGGAAAAAAAACAAAACTTTTCTCCGACTTCGGAAAAGGGTCGGAGAGAAAGTTGGTGGGGGGTTGTGAGTGGCTTGCGATTGAAGAATTTGAAGGAAATATTTTGATGGGAACGTGATAACAGCAGAAGCTAGATTCAATTCGAGAAGGAGTAAAATCTGAACACGGGCAATTGAAATTGCTCCCATACAACAACAACAACGACAAGGTTCCGTGGGATTCAAAAACTGCTGCTAATGATTGTGAGTGTTGTGTGCCATTTTGCTTGAATCTGGATTTTGCGTCCACGAGTGTGGATTTTTTTTTTTTTTTTTTTTCGGTTATAGGTTTCTTTTGTGTTACATTGCAAGGTGCTACTGCACTGCACTACGAGGATAAACAACATTTCTCAAAGCACTAATATGATTCTATTTAAATTTTTATTTTTATGACGCACTAATATTATGTTATAATAAGATTACATTACAACATAACTATGAAAATAAAAAGTACAACCTTACGTACTTTCCCCTCCTCGCTCTCCTTATCTCTTCTCCTTCCTATCTCCTTCTCATCGGCTCCTCTCTTTATCTATTCGCCTTAACAATTGAATATCAGTGTTAGGGACTATATTTCCCATTAATTAAAAGCTACAAAATGTTAACATAAAAGATGACATAAAAAACATTAAGTATGCATTCATTATACTATGAAGTCTATGCTCCTGAATGATATAGTTTATAAAATGTGGTTTTTAATTAGTTTTATTAATGTTTTTTTTTAAAATATTTATCTCGTAATCATATTAAAATAACATAATCTAATCATTAATAGTTAGTTGTAAAACGATTATATGCACAAGAAATACATAATATGTGGAGTAACATAATTCATCTAAATGATTGAACAGTCTGAGAAATGATTATTATTTTCATTGAAAAAAAAATAGAGATTGAAATAACTTTTCAAATGCTGATTTGGATAGCAAACATGTTTCGTAACCTGAATCAAATTTAAGTAAAAGAACAAAGTTAAATGAAATAGGATGGACTAAAAATAGTGTAAATAAACGTGCAATTCAAAAAACAAAATAGTAATATGTGAGAATTATCAAAATGGAAGAAATATTAGAAATGACAGCTTTTGAAATTGAGATTACTGTGTTGACAATTAATGAATTTAAATTCATAATTTAATTATTAAAAGTAAAGCTTTTTAAATATTAAACAAGGGATCAATAATAAATTTGAAATCATTTATATATCAAGAATATTATTCCATTCTAAACACTAAAAAAACATTCAATTTAGGAAAAAGAAAGGAAGATTATCGTTTTCAACCTGATTTTTTACTGTTGTTTTCATATACTTTTTTTTTTCTCGATTAGAGACTTGCTAAACTAATTCTTGTAAAAACTGTTTAAATCTAAAACTTAAGCTATCAGATAGATATAAAATGTATTTAAATATTATAATCTTTTCTAAGAGCAAACATTTTTGATAGTGGAACGCTTTAATACCAACCTCTAAAATGTTACGTGTAAAATAATACAGTACAATTTTTATAAAAATGTTTTTGTCAATTTTTTTTATTACATCGAAAGTAAAATCATAAACATATTATATGTCCGTATATCATACAAAATATATATTATTTGTCTTTTACAACACTAAAATTAAACACACTTAAATAAAAACAATATAAAACCTGACAATTATTATTTCTCGTCTTTCTTATCGAGAAACTAGTCTCATCTGCAATATCAGTTATTTTCGTACAAGTACGATCATTGTAGGTGAAAACCACAACCACAACATGTAAAGATGAACAACCAAAAATTTCATATATATATATATATATATATATATCTATATATATATATATGTATATATTATATATAACAACATTATAAACACATTCATAGAACTATAACAATCCATACATCCTAGTTTCGATGCAAGGCATAACATCATAAGCAACTTCTAACCAATGTCGTTTTCTTGTATTTCGTCGTCATAACTTGTTCTCAATTAATAGGCAATTCGAGTCGTCTTCCATCGCAACTTCAGACTTATCTCCCCAGCACGATCCGAAATCATTGGGCGATACATCCACCCTTTTATTTCCTTACGAGAAGGAAATGTAACACTTAAATCTTTGTCTCACACGAGACTCAAACTTATCATTATATCAATATGCTCACACTTCCGACAAAATTACAAGCAAATAACACAATTTACGTACAAGACACTAACAACCAAAATAATCGTTCTCAATCTCAAAATTATACATATTCTCAATAACATGTATATCTCAATCAACACGTAGGCCCAACAAAATATCCAACAATTCTCAATAATTGATCAAAACAACCTTACTGAAACACCCCTCTAAAATTAATAAGTTCACACAGTTGTAAAGATAAAAATACTCTCTCACCAAGGTAGCCCCAAGGTAGCCCCAAGGTAGCCCCACGCTAGTCCACAAATTTCTAATTCTCCATAATTACTCATTGTTTCCAAACTTTCTCATTTTTCCCACCTTTTTCTTTTCTATTTCAATTATCATTATGCAATTTTCCTCTCTTTTCAAACTTTACTTAAACCACATGCACACTCTTTCCCTTTCTTCCATTTTCATTTATCAAACCCACTTCACAACATTATTCTTCTTTCTTCTCCCTATACTTCATAATTTCTAACTTTTATACCAATTAATGTACATACATGCAACTAATCCAAGATTAACCTCTTTTCTTTTGATTTTCAAGATTAACCTCCATCACCACACCTTGCTTAAACAAAATCCATACTACTCTACTACCTCTCCTTCCTCCTATTTACTTTTGATCACCACTCATTCCTCCTTCTCTTCCATAAAAGGAAGAGAAACACTCACTATCATTTTACTTTCAGCTACAAACCTATTAGGTTACCCTTAAGACCATATCATCATTAATCTTTTTTTTTTGTGGGGCTAAAACTATGGTTTCTAGAAGAATCTGAACCCAGTCCAATGCATTGGAAAGCATGAAAAAAACTCGAGGATAGAAAAAACACAAGACAGGTGGTGCAGGGCCACGCTCCGGGCGCTAAGCACCACACTCCTGTGGCGCCCTTTATGGGGCCTAGTGTTATTCTTCTCCGCATTTTTTAAACCCTTTTTGCTTGGGG